CATCATCATCATCATCATCATCATCATCATCATCATCATCATCATCATCATCATCATCATCATCATCATCATCATCATCATCATCATCATCATCATCATCATCATCATCATCATCATCATCATCATCATCATCATCATCATCATCATCATCCCCATCCTCCTCCTCTCTCCCCATCGAGGTCTTCCTCCTTCGCTCATCTCGCATCAAAGGAGTCTCCGGCCGCCAAACCGCCTCAGAATTTTTGACTCGGAGCCTCCGGCCTGGGCGAGTCACCGGGGCCGGCCGCGCGGCCGAAGGCCCGGTCACCGCCCGCCGCGGTCGCGGGCCGGGCCCAGACTCTCGAGACCCCGCCCGGCCGGGCGGCCATAGCTGAGTGCCAGCGCGGTCCTGAGTAGCTCTTTACATCTCAAAGTTACCAGTGACTTATGAGAGTCTGAATCCGAATCCGACGGATGTAACCGCTGTAACATAACGGTCAAGGTCACGCCACCATGGCAGTCCGACTCTCACAAAATGCTGACAAAAATTCGGGAAGCCCGAAAGGGACCCGGGACTCCCTACGGAGATATCTGAATCAAGTACCCGTCCTGATACCCATGGTCACCCACCATTTCCCCTCTTAAGTATTTACTCCATTCACCCCACCCCTGCCCCTGGTGGAGGGATATCGTTTAAAATTCTGGTGTTTCGAAACGATGCCTTTCCGAGAAATATCAAGTTTACTCCTGGCCCGCTTTTAGGCTGCTTTTTTGAGACCGGTGGTTTTTGACTGAGTGATAGGGGTGGGCATCTACACGGAGCTTCTTTTAGTCACTACCGGTAGGTGCACATATAGGTACCGTACCGTTCGGCGATAGCCTTGAGGGGTAGGGGTGTTAGGAGGGTCCCGGGGCCCAGTGCTAGATGGGCATGAGGGTAGTGGGGTTTGGAGGAGGTAGGGGTAGAGGGGACACCACTTTACCATATATGATTCAGGTAGGGTGGTCCCGGATGCAGGGCCCAGGCTGGACAAGGGTGGGGTGGGGTATGGTACGGTACAAATTTGTGATCTTCTGATAGGTGGGGGGTGGAATTTACGGTTCGCTCTCAAGAAGGTGAGGATGGTGGTGGGTGGTCAGAACGAGAATTCCATGTATGGCGCGGTAGCCTAGCGGTAGCAACATGGTGGAAGACACCTGTCCTTGAAAGATCAGGCAGAATGTGAGATGAACGGGAAGGTGCATGGAGTGGACGTCAATGATTGAGAGAAGCAGAAGAAGAGGATGGGAAATAATGGAGGGATGCTGTAGAAATAGCCAAGGAATAGACCAAAGGGATCTCAAGTCCGAAATGGAGAATGGAGGCTAAGAGAGGACTAACAGAGGGCCAGACAAAACATTGGAGGAGGAGGATGCTGATGATGGGTGAACTTAATCACGTAAAAGAAGCCATTGGAAGGAAGGGCGAAAATTGCAGCTCCTCGCTTTTCAACAGAACTACTGACACGCGTGACATCGCAGGCCGTGAAGAAGCTTCCTCGGGCAGATGATCTATTAAGATCCTCGCGTTCTTGACAGTGCTGCGAGAAAACCTTGGCCACCCGATCACAACAACCAAGGAGGAACTCAACTTTGCAGAAGTAGGTTTGCAATGCAAGGAGGGTCCCTGACCAACCATCCAACGGTTATGAAGGACGACATTGCACCTCAGCAGGATGCACAGAGGTGAGGACGTGCCGATGCTTCTCGAGGACATGCATGGCGTCTGATTGCTCTTGTGGACCATAGCCTGATTAAGCACATCAAGTCGGATAGAGGATCTCAGAGCTCCAAGACATCGCAGTTTGCTCCCGAGAAGTCGGAAGGCCAGGTAGTGGATGGGAAAGCAGCTCGGTTGAAATTCTCGGCAAGATTCGCTCCATCAAAGCAAAGTTTGCTTGACCCATCGCACGCACATCGACCTCAAAGAGCCCAGCAGGTCTCCGACAGACCTCCTGCGATCACTTGTTCTTGATGACATGTCACAGCAGCGGCATCACAATGAAAGGAACAAGAGGCGAGGGTCGAGGTTGCTGAATGTGCTTTTCGATGTCCGACTAGAGCATCGGGAGACTTTAAGGTGATCCAGTGCCTCATATATGCGATATCAAATCTTTGTGTTGACGAAGGTGTTCAGGAATTTGCTACCTATTCAAAAAGAAGAGGAGAGGGAAAGAATTTTGAAGCAGCTCAAGGACCTGCACTATGATCTCAAGTTCTATGTTAATGAATTGGCGCTTTGGAATGGAGGTCAGTGAGATGTATGTGAAGCTTTGTATGATCTGATCGCTTCTTCGAAGACAAGTATGATACTTGGAGCACCTTCCGACGCAGTCAAGTCTGCAATGACATCGAGCAGGTCCAGCAAAGCTTCCTCGACTTTGTGGAAGAGTATTCGCCTTCGCTGCAGCAGATTCTTGATCCCTTGACGCCTCGTGATCGGCTGCATGGACTGCTCTTGACCAACAAGGGCTTCGAGATCAGAAACACCTTGATGAAATACACAAGAATCACAAACCCCGACTACCAAGCTACCGCCGCTCTAGCGAACCGAATTCCGAAGTCCGAGACAGGGCGAAAGCGTTTTGTTGGTAAGGTGGAGGAGCTGCAAGAATGTCTGAAAAAGGCAGTGTCAAATCTGAACGAGGCTTGTGGCATCAATGAAAACGGATCGCGGAGATCTTTACTGAAAGTATTGTTTAGAAGGTAAATCAATCGAAGTTATTTGCATAAATGGAGTTACGAATGAAGATTAAAAATGGGAGCGAATTCACCCTCCTGAGAAATCAGGCAGATATTAAACTGGACTAGGAAGAAATCCTGTACTTGGTGACCAAACCACGTGCTCACTCTCGGAATATCACAAAGGTTGACATCCTGTCCGGATTCTTCTGTTGTTAAAGTGTCAGCAACAGCAAACTGGAAGAGTCTGAGGAAACAAGCAAAACCTACAGAAGTGCGGACGCCTAGCAATATGCAAGTTGAGAACTCTTCCTTAATCATCTGCTGAACGTCGTCTATTGAATGATCTGTGATTTTCTTTCCTGCCGTCAAAACAAATTTCACATTGCTTTCCATCTTCCTTACCTTTCCATTCACAAACAAGAGCATGTCTCCTGCTGATATCTGCAAAGTCTCTCAATGTACGCGCATGCCGAAATGCTATTCAGTGACCTGCTTGGCCGCTGGGCTTGAAGGCACTACGTAAGACACGTAATATCCTTCTTTCCCGGTCTTCTTCACAAGCTTCATCCCAACCCCTGGAACTTGCTGTTGTACCCTGATGATCTTTGATGCGGCGTGTTATTTAGAGAAGCAAGAAAGGGCTCAGCGTACGCTAGCGAAGACGAGTCTTTCTCCTCAGAAGGATTGTCTGCCAGTCTCCCACGTCAGGTCCTTGACAATCAGATTCATTGTAAAGTGACAACCAACCTTGATTTTCCACAGGGTTGCTGTCAGGAGCGGAAGACTGGAGTCCGGTCTTGTTCGAAGCCGGTTGTACAGTGAAAGCTGTTCGGAACTCATCTCTTTTCTCAAATCTGGGAATCTATCAAGAGCGTCAAACTTGATACGGCAGCAATTTTGCATCAATTCACCCGACGAGAATAATTTTCAGTGACTGAGTCGTTGCAAACGCAGCAATTGTCAAGAGTGTTGCCCATTATGAAGTGACCTGCCATTTACCAAACCATCAACAACTCCCTCCCTTCTCTTGTCGCCTCTTCCTTCCATCTACACAACACGCTCATCGTGAGCAAATAGTCCTTCTGTGGCGCATGTGGATTCACTTCGGATCAAGGTCCAGATGTGGTAGATCGAGCTGAAGCTCCCTGCTTCAATCTTCTTCCATGTGTTTTAAATCCGTGGACTTTTTCCCATTGCCAGCTCTGGAGCAAGACATCGCCTTCTGTCCCCCCTCCCCCTCCCTCTCCCTCTCCCTCTTTGCCGTAGTCGTACTCCTCTTCCTCCCTCTCTCCCTCTTCTTCTCCCTCCCTCCCTATCCCTCCCTATACCTCCCTTTCTCCCCCTCCCTCTCTTCCTCCCTCCCTCTTGCTCTTGATCCCTCCCTCCCTCTTGCTCTTGATCCCTCCCTCCTGCACGTTCCTCCTCTGCCTCTCGCGTCCCTGTCCCTCGTTCGTACAGAGGGAAAAGTTGACAACTTTGACAAAGCCGATCAACACAAAAAAGTTGAACATTTTCACTCAACATGACTAAAATGAAAGGCGAAGGAGCGAACGACGAAGGGAGGGATGAAGGAGGGAGGGAGGCAGGCAGGCAGGCAGGGAGGGAGGGAGGGAGGTAGTGTAAAGGAAGGAGGGAGAGAAGAGGTCTCCTTCCTCTTCCGTGGATGGACGAGCCACCCAACAGACCGTCGAAAACAGAACACAAGTCTGTTGGGGCTGGATCTCAAGGTATATCGTGCTTTGAAGGAGATGCACGTACAAGTGTTTACCAGATTGAATGGATCAGTCTAGCGAGGCAATCCTCTCAGATACAAGACAAATTACTTCTGCTGTGTTGCCACTTTGCCGGCAAAGCTCCTGTTCGTGTTCAGCAGAAACTCCAGGGACGTCGGCAGTCTCCATCTCGGTCTGTTGAACTTTACAGAGCTGGACAAGAAATGTCAGGCCATGATGCATGCCTGTCATGACTTCCTAATATCCTTTCGTATTGAAAGGTCTGAATAACATCCAATCAGCAGTATGGAAGGCATACGTGTTTCTAAGATGTGCTTTTTGTTTGAATCAAGATTCAATCCATGCACCAAGCCCAATATTTCGTTTCCTCCATGCAAATTTAAAGAAATGTGAGAGGCACTGGAAGTTTCTGATGATCATGGCATTGCAACGGCTTCTTCCCTCTTGCCCCTCTGCATGCAGCGGCATGGTAGGAACAAGCGAGATAAGTCGATAGAAAAGTCGCTTTCAATATCGATGGAATAAGGCTGGGAGACTTTGGGCAACATGCCCTGCTGACCATGAAGGTCAACACAAGATCTATCGGAAACCAGCAACGCCGAGTTTTCCTCTAATCAAACTCCACAGCCGTCAACCCAGGAAGAGAACGGAGGGGAAAGTGGGGAAGAGGGGGTAGGAAAGAGAGGAGATCATGTTTGCAGGCTTGGATGTAGCCAAACCTATTCAGGAACCTAGTGCAGGAGCTTATGCTGGGCTGTTTCTCACAGACTCGTCACCGCCGTGACTGGCACGTGCCAGCAACCTTCGTCTACTTCATGATTCACAAGAGTGTACAGACAGATAGGATCTCTGCCTTGGATGTTCTCTTGAGAATCACATTATTGTGTTCAAGTGCTTGTACCGTTGTCGATTTCTTTGCCATGATTCCGGTGCCGCATTGCAACTCCGAAGATCGCAAATGATATTTCTGCTGACCAAGTCCACCTCAGAGGATTTATTCGAACTGAATTGAGGCAGCAATGATTTACTACATTATGAATTAGTGCGACGGCTCAAGTCATCAGTTTACATCAGCAGGGAGGCGTAAATTAGAAAACAGTTTTATTTTTGGTCTACCCTACCCCCAGGGGGAATCTCTGCTGAAAATCGGGGTAGTAGAACCCTGCGACTTGGCGATGACCCCTGGCCGCCAGTTTCCTCAACGCCCGAAAAGGTGGGGGTGCTTGGGGAGGAAGATCGATCCGAGTTAGGACACGGGTGGTTCGGACTAGAAAAGGAGGGGTATTTCTAAATCGATTCTCAAAAAAATCGAAATGACTCTTTTTCGAAAATTCGAATATTCCCCGGCCCAAATGACCACCCCACCCATTATAAACATGGACCCACCCTCTCAGTTATTTCTCACTTGACTTCTTCAATACTACCCCACTTTGCCCCTCAATCACCCTCTATAGAGGACCCCACCCTGACGATGTTGGCATTCACCCCAATGATGCGTCTGCACAAACCCTACCCCTTTCAAATACCACCCTCCATTTCAGTCTCTCCACTACCCTACCTCCAAACTTCTATGGCCACCCTTACTACCCTACTTTTCTCCATTTGATGTACCCGTGGCACTCGAAATTACTCGTTCCCCAAGTCAACCACCCACCCACTCTGTTTTCAGTTCAGTGGGCTGCGAATCCACCCCTGGAAATTTCATACTACCCATCCTAATCCCTCATAAGTACCCTACCTTTGATAGCAAGAAGCTGTGGCCATGAGAAGGAGTACCCACCTTGCTCCTGCACCACCCCCCGTCTCCCCATTGTGAGAAAGGACTTGAAGGCGGGGGACTAGCAGAACTTGAGAGTTCCTGCTCCTCCCCCTCTTCCTCCTAGTTTCCCCCCTCCACATCCCCCGTCCTCCTGTTCCCCCCCCTCGTTCGTCCTCTTCGTCCCCTCCTAAATTGCTCACCCACTCCTCCTCTCCCTCCCCTCCACATTCTCCTTTCCTCGTTCCTCGTCTTACTTGTATACTCTCTCGTGCAAGCCCTACGCCCTGTCATCGTACCATTGCTTTACCCCCGTCGTAGCCTCCCTTCGCTTATCCTTCACTGCCAAACTAGCGACAAGTCTCACTCGTCAAAAGCTTCCACTGCGATCCACTCTATTCTGTTCCGCTTCTTCGTTCTAAAGTTGTAGTGCGGAGCGGACCTGGACGTCTTGCATTTGGAATGTCTGCTGGAGTACTAACTTCCAGCTTGTGGACACTGCAACAGATTCCAACTTCTCCCACCAGCATCCTTCGAAGACACTCTGAACCTGAGGCATGCCAGTCGAGCTTCCGGCGGGTCCGAATGCTCAACATGATCAAGATGCTTTCTCAGTTCTCCATTTTCGAGGGCGTTAGTACCCACGTCCGGTCAAAAGTCGCCAAGGCAACCAAAACTGTCAGGCTGTCCCCAGGACAGATCTATCAGCTGGATCGAGTGGACCAGGCTGTGTTCTTGGTAGAGAAAGGCAGCGTGTATCTGGTGAATGCCCACCAGAAGAAGCTTCAGTTGACACACAGCATTGTCGGCTTCGAGGCGCTGTGCAACATGGCGGTGCAGCTCAGCAAGTCGGAATGGGACGTAACAGACTCCGTTCACGCGGGTCCTCCAGCCTTCTTGGTCGGAGCTGCTGGTGGATGCGAGCTGTTCAGCCTGTCCATCGACGCCCTGCATGTCGGCGCCGAGATGTCGGAAAGACTCAAGTCCAACATCAGGATGGTTGCGGCCAATTACGTGCGCAAGCTAGCCGCCAAGGGAAACCTGAAGGCTCGCAAGTGCTTCGAGAAGATCCTCTTGGAGATCCCTTCGAGCCTGAATGAAGATATTCGGAGGCAGGAGGAGGTTTTGAACCAGCAGAGGATCGACGCTCAGCGGCGAGTCGAGGCCATGAAGCGGCAGATCCTGAGTGCCAACATCGAGTGGGCAGCGATGAGGGCGAGCAGCAGTGGGAGCAGTGAGGGCGACGTGCTGTCTCCCATCCGTGGGACCCTGACGTCGATGACCATCCTTGACCCATTCCACCTGTAATTTGTGTGTTTTGTGTAGAGTACTGTTCATATTTACCGCAAAAGGTTTTGCAGTTGTAAACTATTCAGACGATCTCACTTTATCGAGTGTACGATTATCACTCTCTCCGCATCACCTCAGACAGAACGTGTTGTTGACCGAAACAGGCCGCAGGTCGTCCCTCCTGTACGTCCGCCGGTTCGGAGGCTTGACCGGCATGTTCCTGCACAGAGGTCAGCAGACCGTGAGCTGGGAGACAGCAGGCAGAACCTGAAGCAGCACTGCACTACTCCGTCTCCCCGATCGACAAATTTCGCCACCTCCCCCTCCAGCGGAGCCACAGGGTTGAGGAGGTTGCGGTTGAGCCCGTAGTTCCTGTTTCCTGCGGATCCCGTCAAGGGGAATGGAGGGAGGGGGAGCTCCCTGACTGAACCTGCGATCTTGAACCTTCCAAAGGCAGGGACCCCGTCCTCCTCCTCCTCCCCAGCGCCATCCCTACGTCCTCCAGGTCAGGAGCGAAGTGAAGAGCAGGGGGAAAAACACCTGAAAGGATGCGCCTTGCCCAGAAGCCTCCCATCTCCTCCCAGGACGCCGCAGTCACCGTACACGCTCTTCCCTCCAACCACCTGCCCCCATTAGGAGGAGGAGACGATGAGAGCAGCGCTGCACACCTTCCCCGTCGGCAGCTCCCCGGCATCCACCACCCCTATCCTCCTGTCTGGAGGGAGAACGCTTCCTCCGTGGCAGAACTGCCGCAGCGGCAGAAAGTCACCATTGGCCGAGGTCAAGAGCAGGAGGAACCACCTGCTGCTGGTTGCCCATGGCCTGTTTGGGATCGGGCTGCACAAGCTTTCCCATCTGCAAGCCCCTTTGAGAGGAGGAGGAAGATGAAGAACGGGAGGAGGATGGAGGAGAAGGAGCAGGAGTGGGAAGGGGAAGGTGATGTGGGGGGGAACGCAGCTCACATGATGGAACACTTCGATCCTCCTCGTCGGAGGGTTCAGCGCGACTTCAATCTGGGGAAGGCGTGACGACGGGACTGGGTCACAACAACGGCCGGACCTCCATGGGAGTCAGATCCTTGAAGGACTCCGCGTCATGGTGTGCAGGCGGAGCAGCTGCGAGTTGAGACCTTGACCCTG